TGTGGTTTAAAAGAAAAAAAACCTGTTAAAACTCATAACTTAGCAGTATTCAGGAAAAAAAACAACTTCTAGGAGCTATGGGATACAAGTTAAGAATTTTGAAACAGGAAGATGTTATGCTTAGTTACCACTTGGGCAAGGCGGCGTGCTATGTAATACTTGCAAGATTTCACTGTAATGTTTTACAATATATAGCAGCGCAATGCTGATTCCATTGATATTGTTGAGCAATTCATGCTGATTTTATTTCAGCTCACATCTTAATAGTTTTGAATACTGTAGATCACAATTTTCAGCTCAGTTGGTCTGAACATGCAGAGCTTTAAAACTGCTATGCTCTAAACTGTATATTAACTACAATTTTATAAACCTGCATGTCAGAGAACTGTGTGCCACTACTACTAGACAGTGGCACAAGGCAATTCAGTGTGAATCACAGAAATGTAGGACTGGAAGGGATATCAACAGGTCATCTAGTCAAACCCCTGCACTGAGGCAGGACTGAGTAATAACAACACTAGACCATCCTTGACAGGTGTTTGTCTAACCTCTTAAAAGACTCCAATGACTGCTATTCCATAACCTCTCTAGGTAATCTGTCCAGTGCTTAACTACCTTTACAGTTAGGAAGTTTTTCCTAATGTCTAACCTAAATCTCCCTTGCTACAATTTAAGCCCATTGCTTCTTTTTCCTGCATGTCCTGAGTGGGACGGGGGTGAGTCCAGGCAGTGGGATTGGGGGGAGGGAGGTTGAGGGAGTCGGTGGGTGTGTAGAGATGGACCGAGGGAAGCAGGGTGGAGGAACTGAGGGGGACAGGATTGGGACTGGGGGAGTCGGGGGGGCTGAGGGGGATGGGACAGGACTGGGATGGGGGGGGTAGGGTAGGGGCTGAGGGGAGCACGAATGGGACAGGGTAGAGAGAGCCGCGTAGAGTGGGGCGGGGCAGGGGAGACAATGGGGCTGGGCTGGGGCGGATCGGGGGGTTGGGGAGAGGGACAGGGTCTGGAGGGGATGAGACAGAGGGGAGCAGGACTGGAATGGGGGGAAGTTGAGGGGGTGGGACAGCAGGGGGAGCGATGGGGGTGGGATGACGGGAGAGGCTGAAGAAGAGATTTGGGGTAGGGCAAGGCTGAGGGCAGTGGGTTGGGGGGAGCAGGGGGACTGTGGGGGAGGCTGTTGGAACGGGGGCAGGGACTGAGGGCAGTGGGTTCAGGGTGGGAGGTACAGGGGGGACTGCGGGGGAGGCTGAGGGAACAGGGTCAGGGTGGGGGCTGAGGGCAGTGGGTCAGGTCTACACTGGCACCTCTCAGCATTGCTGTGCAGGGTGGCAGACCTGCGCCAGCGCTACCCTGGTGATGGAAGAGTTCTGAGTGGAAATGCAGATTTCATGACACAGACCCTCCTCACTTCAAACTTGGCGCTGCTCTGGTCAGTCGCTAGGCTCTTGTCACTTTAAAACCCATGCAGGGTATCTGGCAATTTTTCAGTTCTCAGGTTAAGAAAAGCCTCTGCATTTTGTGGGGGCTTCAGCATTCACTTTCCTACTTGACAAACTGTCTGCCTGACACATTGCTCCCAGGGCATTCATCTTTATTCATTATCGGCAGGTCCATCAGATTAACGAGCAACACAGGGGGAAGCAACACAATGGTGTCAAGGATTTTTAATTTTTCAAACCACTTTGGCCTCAACAGGGATAACAACAAATCTGGACAGAGCAGATGGGTGTCAGGATGGGTTTGGGTATTTATTTATTTATTTATTTATGTAAGTGAAAATGTTTGGGTCTGAGCAAAGGCTGCAAACTTCCCTTTGGAAACCTTTGCTGATCTTTTGCCCCAGGGGCTATCGACAGCCTGGAATCCGGGACAGATTTCCACATCCATGCAGGGTGAGATGATCGTGGGGGGGGGGCTGTGGGGGAGGCAGAGGGAACAGGGTCAGAGGGGCTAAGGGCAGTGGATTGAGGGTGGGGGGCACAGGGGAGACACTGCGGAGGAGGCAGAGGGAACAGGGTCAGGGGGGCTGAGGGCAGTGGATTGAGGGTGGAGGTACAGGGGGGACTGCGGGGGAGGCTGAGGGAACAGGGTCAGGGTGGGGGCTGAGGGCAGTGGGGCTGAGAGGAGCCCCCCCAGAGGGACCTGCCAGGGGCCAGGTGAGCCCAGCAGTGCTTACCTGGAGCGGCTCCCAGGAAGCATCCAGCAGGCAGGTCCCTCCCAGTCCCTCTGGCTCCTTCCTAGGGTCGGGTCGGGTCGGGTCGAGGGGCGGCGGGGGCTCTCTGCCGGAGTCTACAAGCCCCGCCCCCCTGCAGCACACAGCAGAGCAAGACCTCCCTGCCTCTCTGTGTGCAGGGGCAGGGGCAGGGGCAGGGGCAGGGCTGCGCTCTGCAGGCTCCTGCCAGCCGGGCCGAGAGCTCACTGCGCGCTGCCCCAGGGCCCAGGGAGGAAAGGTGAGTGGCGCCGGCGGCGCCGGCTTGCCGCGGTCCCCCTCATATAGGGTGACCAGACGTCCCGACCAACGTAAGGTCGGGACGCGGGACAAGTCCCCTAAAATCGGGACTGTCCCGATAATATCGGGATGTCTGGTCACCCTAGTAGTAGACAAGCACCAGTCTTGCATCCTAACTGCTAAAAACGAGCTGCCTTTACCCACGTGCTTACAAAAAGAAAGCTCATGCTCCAATACATCTGTTAGTCTATAAGGTGCCTCAAGACTCTTTGTTGCTTTTTACAGAAAGAAAGGCAGGCTGGCCACGTGCAGGGCCGGCTTTAGGCTGATTCCGCCGATTCCGCTGAATCGGCCCCGCGCCTAAAAGGGCCCCGCAGCTGTCCACCCCGCCTCAGCTCACTTCCTCCTCCTCCCCTCCCCTGAACACTCCGCCCCCTGCTCCTCCCCCTCCCCTGAACACTCCGCCCCCTGCTCCTCCCCCTCCCCTGCTTCCCACCAATCAGATGTTCGTGGGAAGTCTGAAAACAAGCAGGGGCAGGCGGCAGCAGGTAAGCTGGGGGGGGCGTGAGGAGGGAGCCGGGGGGGCGCAGCCCAGTCCGGCCCCGGCCGAGCGGCTCCCTCCGACCCTGGCCGAGCACCCCCGGCCCTGGCAGCTCTGGCTCAGGCCCCGGGGTGCCGGCCCCGACCGAGCACCCCCAGCCCCAGCGGCTCCAGGCCGGGTCAGCTCGGGCCCCGAGGTGCCGGCCCAGCCCCAGCCGAGCACCCCCGGCCCGAGCGGCTCCGGCCCGGCTCGGGCCCTGGGGTGCCAGCCCCGGCCGCGCGCGCTGGCCCGGTGCCGGCTGAGCCCCGGCCCGGACTCAAGCCCCGCGATCCCAGCTGGAGCGCGGCCCGATTCCTGGGGGCGGGGCTTGCCGGCTCTTGCTAAAGCCGGCCCTGGCCCCCTGCCAATACATAAGGAGCGGCAAATAATGCCTATAATTGTCACGGACTTCGCTCATTCCAGCGAGTAGATACAGAGCAAGGCACTGAACTCACACTTTCAGTGCCACACGGTGCTATAGGTCTGCAGCACCATCTACACTACAACTGCATCGGGGACCTGGTAACAACTGTGGCCCTTTGGTTGGAACAGCTCTAGTTTGCAACACAGACAAGACCATAACTGTATTAGATAAAAATACTTATAAAATACTCAGCATCCCTTCTATACTGGAAAATAGACTGGGTCAGGGACAATTATAACCAGGTCCCCGACACAGTTCATAGTTGTAGTGTAAACAGGACACTGGTTTTTACAGGATATAGTTCTATTTTAAAGGAACTCCAAAATACAATATACACTGATCAGTAAATGGGTTTGTAGCACAGTTCATACTGGTCAGGGAAATCGTGGCCCTTCCTCCACTACAAAACAGCCATCTTTCACATACTTGTAACCTAGCCACATTATAATATAGTTGTTTCTTGCTTGTGTAAACATAAAACCAAACCCATGACACAGTCACATCAGGAAACCACCTTTGAGGGTTAAAATACATATATAATGTGTTGTTTTGCTGTCCACAAAGACATGAAAACCATAACACAGCTGGGGTACAAGCATGTTTTTCAAGCATGATTATACGTGCCAGTTTCTCTAGTGTAGAGTTGGCAATGTTGTAGCAGCAGCCATGGTTAACCCTGGTTTAGGTTTTTTAGGAAGTTGCTAACAGGGCTTCCTCAACCAATATAAGGGCCTCCTCAATTTTTGTTTCTAATCTGGTCCTTTCCCAATGTCTATATGTCAGACCATTTGCAAAGGCTAGAGATAGCAGAGACAAGATAGCTTCCGCACTGCTGGGCATCACACCAAGGACTCAAGGAACAATTTCTCCTGGAGTGCTGAAATTTCATTAGGCAAGCTGAACAGATGTGGTGGGGTAGAGTGGGAGGAATTACCACAGCCCATCAGTATGCAGAACAATTTAATAAGAGATTAAACACAGAGCTCTTTCACTGTGAGTGAAACAAAAATATACAGTCTTAAAAAAATAAATATGGGTATTTCAAACTGCTGACTTGTTTTACAGAGTATGTATGTCTAGGAAGGAGCATATGAATACCCTGGCGATGTGAAACCACTACCTGCTGTTATTTCTTTACAGAACATCCCCCGTCCTGCCCCTGCTGTAGCTTAGTGCCAATGATTCTTCAAATCAATATAAAAGAGTTCAGATTTCATTAGATACAATCATTGCTGTGCTGAGGTTGCTCTTCTCTGTAATTTGCACATCACAGTTACACAGTACAGTACAATGTTCTCACTCATTTACACCTCTGGCTTGTTCATAAGAAAACCACATGTATGGGGGTGGTGGGGAGAGATCCTCAGAGTTACAGGACCTCAGAACTTGCCCTGTTTTATCCAGAGGTCTTTATTAGCTGCACCAGCAGCTGCTGAGCAAAAAACAGTAAAAAGTCCTGAGACAACAGAATGTCAAAACCCCCACCCTCAAACAGACATGCAGCATCTTCATTCTCATGACATCTTGAGTTGTGGGCGTTGATAATGTTAACTCTCAGTCTCATCACTCTTGGTCTTGTTCAGGTGATCAAAGCTTCTCTGAAGCATAGAAAGGGAGCTCTTCAGCTGTGGAGATACAACCCCCAGTCCCCCAAAAGTATATAAATTACGCTGCTGCAAGGATAAGATGAAAATGTTTTATTTTTACATTCAGAATAATTCCCTCCCACCCTTTCATATTAACAGTAGTTTGCACTAAATCATTTATATTACAGCTGCTAGGCAAGCACAGTACTCAGCATAGACTGTCATTTCTACGTAGTTACAGAGCTGTCCTAAATTCTGTTACCCTGCTAGACTATGCTGCAGTAGCACTGGCTACATTGCAAGAAAGAAACCATCACATTGTCATTTTTAACATAGTTGCTGCACGTGGCAAATACTGAAAGGAACACGGCAACAAGATGTGCCCTATAATAGAGGCATGATGCCTTCAGTGTGCTTTAAGGCACAAGGGTGAAGGCAGAAAACTGCCAGCACGCAGAAAGGGCACAATATTATAGCAATTTAAAGCGTATCTTGACTTGCACAGGAAAAAAGTGGAGGGTGATTTTTTTTTTAAGAAAGGAAATGTGAAATTCTCACTCAATATATTTCAATATTTAATTTTCTATGTTCTTTAAAAATACCATTTTAGCTATTTGGAATTAACTACTGTCAGAATGGTAGGAAGTTAGGAAAGAGGAGAGTCAGAGTCAGAAAGATAAGAAAAAAAAATATGGGGAATCCGCTTCTACTTTATGAGATTTCCATCACTCATTGATAGAGATACTTTTGTAACTGTGCTAGAAGTGGTTAATATCAGATCAGCAGCAATTTATGGGCAGGGTACACCTGTGACAAGGAAGAACAAAAACTACCATTGTCTCATGTGATTTTCCTTGGGAGCATGGGGAAAGGTTGATTAAGCAGCTGACAGGCAGGAGTAGCTTGGAGCTCCTCCACAGTTTCTGTACCCAAACAGACTCTTCTATCCCATTTCTATGATTTATAAATAATTAAGTTTAAAAGGTTAATCGGCTAAAAAGTAAAAAAATAAAATCAGTCAATTTTGCAATCTTTCATTTGCTAAGCCATGGCTTCTCGATCCAGCGGTCTGCACCCTCCTTGTTTTTATAGCTAGATGGAAGTGGGGCGGGTCCCCAAACTTTTTCCTGTTATAATATAGGGTCATGGTATGGAAAAGTTTGAAAACCACACAGGGCCGCCCAGAGGATTCAGGGGGCCTGGGGCAAAGCGGGGGAGCTGTGGCGCTTGTACAGACCCGGCGGCCGTCCGGGTCTTCGGCGGCATTTCAGCGGCGGGGGGCCCTTCAGTCGCTCCGCGTTTTCGGCAGCACTGAAGGGCCCCCTGCCGCCGAAATGCCGCCGAAGACCCAGACTGCTGCCGGGCTAGGGCTCACGGGGCCCCTGCGGGGCCAGGGGCAAATTGCCCCACTTGCGCCCCTCCCCCCCCCGGGCGGCCCTGAAACCACAGCGTTAAGCAACTGGAGGAGCCTGGAAAGGAGGAAGGACGAAAGGAATGATCCCACAAATATCTGCTCTCCCTCAAACACCCTCTAACAGATATTTTAAAAATGTGGAGTTTTTAATATAAATACTGAAATGGAGACAGAGCCAAATATCTGCACACTGATGCCACTGCAAGTGAAGCCAGCTCATCTTCACCTGTTGCCATCTTACATACACATAGAGCAAGAGGGATGACCAAATAAAAGCCTGTGGCACCCTGCACACAAAAAATCCTCAGAGCAAATTGAGCAATTGCCCAGTGCTCTCAGAAATAAGAGAATGGAGCCATTCAAAAGCCACCCTATCTTAACTTTTCCTGGGTTCACAAATGCGCCAAAGCCACCTCATAACCAACATCAAAGGTATTTGATAGATGTAAAAGGATCAGCATGGACACTTGCTCTTTGTCCATCGCAAAGGGGAAATCACAGAATCGTAGAAACGTAGGACTGGAAGGGACCTTGAGAGGTCATCAAGTCCATTCCCCTGCTCTGAGCTAAGACCAGCTAAACCTAGACCATCACAGACAGGTGTTTGTCCAACCTGTTCTTAAAACGTCCAATGATGGGGATTCCACAACCTCCCTTGGAAGCCTACTATAGAGCTTAACTACCCTTTATAGTTTGAAAGCTTTCCCTAATATCTAACCAAAATTTCCCTTGCTGCAGGTTAGGTCCATTACTTCTTGCCCAACCTTCAGTGCATATGGAGAACAATTGATTCCTGTCCTCTTTATAACAGCCCATAGCATATTTGAAGACTGTTATAAGGTCCCCCCCTTTGGGTTTCTTTTTTCAAGACTAAAACAAAATGAAACAAAAAACTAAGCATATTTAAACCTTTCCTAGTAGATCATGTGTTCTAAACTTTTTATCATTTTTGTTGCTTCCTCTGGACTCTTTCCAATTTGTCGACATCTTTCTTAAAGTGTGGCACCCAGAATTGGACAGAGTACTCCAGCTGAGGCCTCACCAGTGCTGAGTAGAGCAGAACAATTACCTCCTGTGTCTTACACACAACTCCTGTTTCTACACCTCAGAATTATATTAGCCTTTTTCTCAACTGTATCTGAGGTCCTGTCTACACTGTGGCTTGTAACAGTGTTTGAAACCATTCCCAAACAAGCTTACAGCCAACAGCCTCGTTTATGATAATCTACCAGCAAGACCAACACAGTCTCTCTACTATATTCAAGCTTAAAATGAAACTGACAATGGTCAAGGAAGTCTGTGGTCTCCCGATAACACCAGAGCTGCCTCACCACAACTTTCACCAAAACAAGGGAGCAAAGTTAGAAACAAAGATGTCATTGGAAAGGATTATCCATATCAAGAGGGGGGTTCTTAAGTGTCAGCCTAAATCACCAGTTTGTGAGATGCTGGTGCCTTTCCTGCCTGATGGTCTCCCACCAACAAGTGGACCAAATATTCTTCCACTAGGATTTGTAGTTCAAAGCCCCCGGGGCATCCTAGAACTTCACTGAGAAAGACAGGCTGAGTTTCAGCCTGAGAAGACTTCTTGTTTGTCTCCACTCCTGCATTGATTGCTCTTGGAAAGGCAGCCAATCCAATCTGAATCCAATTATAACATGAAATTTCCCACTGTATATCCAAGTCCACTCTTCTTACAAACACCTTTCATTTGGAAACAACTTGAAATCCAGTGGCTGTATGATGCTTCCTGCCAGGACTTTATCGCTAGGCCATACTAGGATAGAAGCAAACTCAAATCTACCTGCCTATGTTCCCTTTTTAAGCATTTTAGTATGATATGCCTCAAGCTCCTGGATTCCCGGAGTTATCTATGCTGGCAGATATGATTTCTGCCTTAGCACGGGGTGATCCAAGGGAGCAGAACTATACATTATGGGAGAAAAAAAATTTAAAGGAAAATTTAGACAATGAAATTTTGCCATTTGTTAGATCTACCAGGCTGTGGAACAGTCTCCTAAGAATAGTGTTGAAGCCCAGTCATAGGAAGCTGAACTAAGCAAACCAATGGGGCACGTTCTCTAGGGAAGAATCCACCACTGGCAGGAGGAGGGACTAAATTATTCAATAGGTGTGGTCTGCTTCTAATTTTTATGATTCTTCAAAGTGCAACGAATATATCAAAGCAATGTTTTTTATCTATTTCTTCTTCTGCTTGGCCAGTGCTCTAGGCAAACAGAAATACAGAGTGCTCAGGAAACAGGCAATTTGTATAGAAAGACAAATGAAGCCCGGCAAAAGAAAAGGGGCAAGGCCTGAAAACGTTGCCACTTTCTTTACACACCCTGCTGCAGCTTTATTCTTCCTGAAGACAGGCAGCCACAGACCGGCTCATTTATTTCACAGAGCAAGACACTTTTTAAAGGGGATTTTAAAACTTTTGAAAAATAACCTCTATGTTTTGTTTCCTCACTGCTACCTCAGAAGCAACAAAAGCATGTGTGGGGAGGAAGCCTACCTGTTCAAGCATTGCAATAGAGTCTTGCAGCACTCCTTTCACCTGCTGAACCTGTTCCTGGTCACGCTGAGGGATATCCTCTCTGGACACCATGTCTGGGGCTAAGCTGAAAAGGGAACATGACAAGAAACATCAATACCATGGAATAAATATCTGTACACCCATACCCAGCAAGCACTGGTCTCTACCTGCACTCATTAGCACTTTTCAAGCCAGGACCACATTAAGACTGTGTACAGTTACATTTGAAACTATGTTACCACTTTCTTAGAGATGTTGCCTTAGTGCAATTGTATACACCGGACACTAAGAGGGAACATGCATGTAATTAAACTGAATTCCTCAGGCTTCTAAACAGGAGTAAATTCCTCCATATGAAGGAAAGTTGAAGTGATCTAGTTCTTCTACCAATCTTATATTGCAAAGGTCTGTCCTAGCACAAAATTAGAAGGATTGTCATTCTCTGTCCCTGCTAAAGATTAGGTTAGATTTTGAAACTCTGTCTTTCACTGCTATGTCCAACAGAGGTGAAGCAAGACAGGTGTCAAGGTCTGCATTAAACAAATGGAACAGGGATAGCCAAAGGCATCATAAAGTCATGAACATATCAGCCCTCCCAATAAAATCCTTTAAATATAGAGATACCAGTTCCCAAATTGTCTCCTCCAAGTCAGATACACAAACCTTGTTCTTGAGAATCTCAAGTCCCTTTGCAAACATTGTAATGCATTTAATTGGATACCATGTGAACAGTGTTTGAAGATGTAAAGCACAACAGAACTGCTAAGTGTTAAATTACATCACACTCCAAAACTGGTCACTTCATCCTTTTAAAAAGTGAGCGGGACATGAACTTTGAGACATTTGTACCTTGCAGGGATCAGCAGAAAGGAGGAGGCTGTAATTCTGTGTAGATCTCCATGAGACAAGATGGAGAAATACAGCAGGGTAGACTGTGTGGAAAGGGGCAGGCTAATCCTAAAATGTCTTGGAGAGGGAGAAAGCCAGTGGTGCAATGTGAAGCCATTTGCTGGACAGCAGTGTTAACTGTAAAATGGCTACAAGTCACAAAAGTATTTAAAGATTTGCCTCCTGAAATTTGCTTGTTATGAGTCCAGTCCAAGCTATCAGGTTCTTATATCTGGATGAAGACGAGGAAGAATTCAGTCAGAAATTCACTCACTTTAAAGACTTCTCATCCTGAAGGTGGACCCGGTAAAATGACTGAGCTGCACGTTCTATCTTTGATAGTTTAAGGAAGAGAGTCACATTCAGCAAAACCAAGAGCAGCAAACTGTATAAAGAAAATCAGACTGGTTTAATCATTGCTATCATTTTGCTTCTGCAGCATTACTAGGGCCATGATGGCCAGAATGAGTAATGTTCTATCCTCTCTGAACAAACCCTCAGGAAAGAACCTGAGAAAGCAACATGTGGGAATTTAAAGTATCAAGAGTATCTGAGTGGGATATATTAGGCTGTGAAATAGTCTTTCAAAGGAAGTGGTGGAAGTCTCATCCTTTGACATTTTTAAAACTAGAGTGGATGAATACTAGAAAATGTAGCGTACGAACAGTCATGAACTAGCAGCAGCAGCAGCCTAGTTCAACCACTCAGCTTTTTCATTCTACATACCATGCAGTAATTGAGCTCCTCCCCTGGAGTCTTCCTCCCATTCCCCTGGATGCTGGGATCGCAGGGTGACCACCCTGATCCCTTGCCCCTAAGGCCAGCCCTGATTAGGACCCCACTGTGCTAGTGCCATGTAAACACAAAGAAAGAGAGAGTCCCCTTACAATCTAAGAATGATGAGCAACAAAGGGTTTTACTCTGAAGACTACTAAAGACGACTCCACTAGTGGCCCATATACCATAGGCTTGAGAAACACTGGACTGCATGAATAGTCTTTTCCTGCTTCCATATAGGTGTAAATAAGATTAGCTCTCAGACATCAGTCAAATTGTGGTTTAACATCAGTGAGTACTTACAAGATGCTCATTACCACAATGATGGCTGTGGTCTTCCTTGCAGCATCCCTTTTCCTTCCTGTAGGGCATGGAAAAGATCAGGTTAGAAATGCTCAACATTAATTCTCCTAAATAGGAGTCTACAATGCACAACAAGTGGTGGATTAGATGGCAGCCCCAATGGACAGACACACCAGCTGTGTGCAGTTTGGGATGCCCATTTATGCACATAACAGAAACTATTTCTCTATCCATCCCAATGGAGGAATCAGCTGGAGAATCCAGTTTACATGTCCATCTCTTATGCTAATGCAAAGCAGTGCTGTGAAGTATGTTCCTGAGTTAGGCCTGTTCTACACTTAAAACTTAGATTGACCTAGCTATGTTGCTCAGGGGTGTGAAAAATTCATGCCCCTCAGAAACATAGTTACACTACACTAAACCTTGGTGCAGACACTGCTAGGTCGGCACAAGAATTTTTCCATCGACCTACCTACTGCCTCTTGAGTGGGTGGATTTACTAGAATGACAGAAAAACCCCTTCTGTAACTGTAGCAAGTGTCTACTCTACAGCAGCACAGCTGCAGCTCGGCTGTGTAGACATACCCTTAGACAAAGCAGCTCCCAGTGGGTACTCACTTCCACATGCCTACCCGATCACATTGCCAATGCCGCATATCAGTAACCATTCCAGTTTCTTTTCTTGTCTATCGCACCAAAAATCAACCTGGTTTCAGTAATTATCATCCTGCAGAAAACACTTTAAATTCAACTGAGTGCAAAACCGCTCCCCATTGGACACCTTTGGGAATCTGATATTGGCATAGGGCAGGATGAAGTGTACATTTCCTCTCAAACTGAAAGAATGTCACCCACCACTACCGATTGGTTAACCTAGTATTGTGTGAGTTACCTGATCTCCTACAATAGTTCCTAACATTGAGATTTCCTGGCCTGGCAAAGGGACATACATTCAGGCTGCCACATGCACGGAGACAAAAGCACTTGCCTGGAAAGCTGGAGCAGTGGTGGCAGATTAGGAATGTGGGAATTAACACAATTACATATGCTACTAACCCAAGCTTACTCTGGTATTCTCAAGGGCTTTTTTCCTGGTTTGAAGTCTGTGTTCTCAGTTCAGTGGTTACAATTTAAGTTGTTTCATATAAGTCAGAGTTCTCTGGCACTCAGTGCACAAATGTTCCTCTTCTCTTTCAAAGTAGTTACTGTACGCCATGACTGATTACAAGTCAATCTGTCATGTCGAGTGGCAGGAAGGGGCAATAGTGCTAGATCAGCTTCGGTGCCCCAGAAACGACTGAAGCAGCCAGGAGATTGAAAAAGAAGTCAGTTTAATTAAAAATACAAAACAACAAGAAGATTTAGGATGAGGAGTCCAGGGGGCAACTGTAAAATTGTAACCGTTTCAAGGACTGCATTCAGTTACCTGTGTAGTTAAAGTCCAAAAATTAAATGCTTTGGGATTTTGTGCAAGTTCTTAAAATCAGGTTGCATTGCTTTTCCTGTGCAAGCTTTGTGCTGGGTTTAGAGTTACCTTGGAGCAGAACACATTATAGATTGCACTTGAGTTCAGCAGATGCTTGTCACTGCAAAAAGGATCAGACATGCGCCAGATCCTGTATATCCAAGCTTTAGTAATATAAAATAAACATTAACTATTAATCCAGCTGTCTTTACCTAACTGGGTCTAACAAATACACATTGTGGCATCACATTTGTTCTGTCTTACTAATTAAACACCCTCTCTAACACACGTTTGGACAAGCAGCTGAAATAGAAAAGATGCTGCTATACCCACCTACTATGTTGCCCTGGGACTCTAATCCAATGTCCCCGGAAGAGTGCTGTGAAGAACGCTTAGGAAGCAGCTCTGCCACATTTCGGTGTAAATTCCGTCGTCTTCTTCTTAGGGCAATAAGTTTCCCAGGATCTTCTATAGATTGGTTTATTGCATATTCTTCCATTAGCAGATCTGATTCTACAGTTGAAAATAAGTATTTATTTTTCCCTTCGCTTTTCAAATGGAAAGTTCACATTATCTGGCTATGATAGAGACAATACTAGGCAAGGCATACAAATCAATAGAGGCTGTTGTCTTCTAGAAAATATATATGATACATAAGAGATTCCTTAAACTGTGTACCATCGACTTGTACTAACATCATTACACTCGATACTTTACAGGTATGAAATATATACTTTTCCAGCACAGTACAGCTTAATGTATTTGCTAAGCACTTTGCTTTCTTTCTCATAGCTACAACCAAGGAAGCACTTTGATTTAAATGGGAAATCAAATTAATGGATTTTTTTTTGTATCCTCACACCTCCTTCTTGGGAGCTGACCCCCATCCCCTGGGCACAAGACTATTGATTGCTAAGAGGACAATTTTTGTAGAAGCGCTTTGATAACATACTGGAAGCACAATACAGTGGCACCCCAGAGTTAGCAGTATATTGACCTAGGGGATCCTTTGACTTGAAGGAGACACAAAGAGAATCTCACACTTTGTACATTTATTTCTAGGAGAATCAGTTTCATGACCTCTAAAATTTACCAGATCCAGCCACAAAAAAGATTTCACCCTGTTACTACAAAAAGTAAGTCCTCACCAAGTTGTTTGAAATTCTCCTCTATCCCACTCCAGGTGTTCTTCTCAATTAGAGACTTGATGAGGCCCCATGGCTGCTTTTTGTATTTCACATCTGTGGAAAGCCTGCAACAGCACAGAATGGAATGGTAAAGTGAGTGATAAATGGTAAAGTTAGTGGCTGTCTATAATCCAAAACAGTCACTATTATAAATAGGTAAGACATTGGCGGTTGGCAGCACTCACACTGAAAAGGTAGGGATTAGACATGGGTAAAGAAAAACTGTAAACTGCCTTGCAGCTAGAGCTCTGTGGGAACTTGAATTTCCATTTCACCGGACATTCCACAATTTCAAAATTTGCTTTAGTTCCCAATCGGAATTTGTAATGTTTCATTTCGACTTTGACTTTTTTAATATACACCTCTACCCCGCTATAATGCGACCCGATATAACAAGGGTTCGCGTATAGCGCGGTAGCAGCGGGGCTCCAGCGGTGCTTTAAAGGGTCCGGGGCTCCAGCTGCTGCGGGGAGCTCCGGGCCCTTTAAATCACCGCTGGAGCCCTGCCGCCCCTACCCCGGGGCTGTGGCAGCGGGGCTCAACCGGCAATTTAAAGGGCCTGGGGCTCCCCACAGCGGAGCCTGGAGCTCTTTAAATCACCGTGGGAGCCCTGCCGCCCGTACCCCGATATAACGGGGTTTCAGCTATAACGCGGTAGGGATTTTTGGCTCCCCACGGGGAGAGGTGTAATTTAAAATAAATTTCAAAACAAAAAAAGTTAAAATGTTCCTTTCTGAAAATGTCAAAATGGAATGTTTTTGACCTTATCAAAATGCTTTTTTCTCCCCCAATTGTTTTAAACAGACTTTTGTTGAATTTACACGTTCCCTTGGGAAGTTTCTGGTTTGATGAAAAGAATTTTCCAACAGAAGAAACTTTATCAGAAATTTTTCTACCAGCTCTAATTATAGCTCAGTGTTACAAGCTGTATTTGCTATCGTCCAACACATACACTCTACATGCATTGCTTGTATATCCCTCTCCCCTTGAGATGTTATGATCATCATATATCTGTATAAAGAGGACCAGAGGAGTCTCCCTTCAGAGCCAGTCAATGCTGCTTCGTTGGCCAGGTTTACACTACAGACCTATATAAGACGGTTACTTACCTTCTGTAACTGTTGTTCTTCGAGATGTGTTGTTCACGTCCATTCCACATTAGGTGTGCGCGCGCCGCGTGCACGAATCGTCGGAAACTTTTTCCCTCAGCGGCTCCCGTCGGGCCCACAGGGTCCCCCTTCCCACCAGAGCGGCGCCCCGCCCTCGCGTATATATATCCCTGCCGGCCCGACCCTCCCTCAGTTCCTTCTTGCCGGTGACTCCGACAGAGGGGAAGGAGGGTGGGAAGTGGAATGGACGTGAACAACACATCTCGAAGAACAACAGTTACAGAAGGTAAGTAACCGTCTTTTCTTCTTCGAGTGCTTGTTCACGTCCATTCCACATTAGGTGACTCGCAAGCTTACCGTTGGAGGAGGGTAGGAGTCAAGGAATAATCGATTGCAGCACCGCCCTGCCGACCACTGCATCATCTCTGGTCTGATGGTGGATCGCGTAGTGGGCTGTGAAGGTATGCACCGACGACCAGGTGGCTGCCTTGCAGATCTCCTGGAGCGGGACCTGTGCCAAGAAGGCCGTCGAGGACGCCTGGGCTCTAGTGGAGTGAGCCCTGATCTGAGGAGCAGGCGTGTTGGCGAGCTCGTAGCACGTACGTATGCAGTGCACAATCCACGCCGACAGGCGTTGCGTAGAAATAGGTTGGCCCTTCATGCGCTCCGCAATGGCCACGAACAGCTGAGACGACTTACGGAAAGGCCGGGTACGGTCCAGATAAAAGGCCAATGCCCGCCGAACATCCAAGGTGTGTAGGCTGCGATGGCTCGGGTCCGTATGGGGCTTAGGGAAGAATACCGGTAAACAAATGTCCTGCCCCATGTGAAAATTCGTAACCATCTTTGGGAGGAATTTAGGGTGAGGCCTAAGCTGCACCTTATCTTTGTAAAAGATGGTATAAGGGGGCTCCGAGGTGAGGGCCCTCAACTCCGACACCCTCCTAGCCGAGGTAATGGCCACGAGGAACGCGACCTTCCATGAAAGGTGCGTGAGGGAGCAAGAGGCCAGGGGTTCAAAGGGCGGCCCCATAAGCTTAGTGAGGACCAGATTGAGGTTCCACGGGGGTATAGGAGGGCGCGAGTAGGGGAACACCCGCTCCAGACCCTTGAGGAATCGGACCACCGTGGGGTTGGAGAACACGGATCTACCCGATTCCCCAGGGTGGAACGCCGAAATGGCGGCCAGATGCACCTTAATAGAAGCGGGGGCGAGGCCTTGACGCTTGAGGTGCAGCAAGTAGTCGAGAATCAGTGGTATCGAGGCCTGTAAAGGCTGCGAGTGGTGAGGCGCACACCATAAGGAGAAGCGCTTCCACTTAGCCAGGTAGGCTGCCCTCGTGGAGGGTTTACTACTACCAAGTAGGATTTGCTGGACCTCGTGTGAACACCTGTGCTCCACCCCACTTAGCCAGAGAGTAGCCATGCCGTGAGATGTAGCGATGACAGGTTCGGGTGGAGTAGGTGACCCCGATCCTGAGTGATGAGGTCGTGATGTAGGGGAAGGGCCATCGGAGCGGTCACGGAGAGTTCCAACAGAGTTGTGAACCAGTGTTGGCGTGGCCACGCCGGGGCGATTAGGATGACTGTCGCCCTGTCCCTGCGGACCTTTAGGAGGACCTTGTGAATGAGTGGGAACGGGGGAAAGGCGTACTTCAGGCTTCCGCCCCACGGGATAGCAAAGGCGTCTGCCACTGAGCCTGGACTGTGACCCTGAAACGAGCAGAATTGCGGGCACTGGCTGTTGTCTTTGCTGGCAAATAAATCTACCTGGGGAAACCCCCACCTCAGGAAAATGGAACGGAGGACGTCCCGTCTCAGCCTCCACTCGTGCCTGAGGTAGGACCGGCTGAGACGGTCCGCCAGCCCGTTCTGGACCCCGGGGAGATACGCCGCCCGAAGTTGTACTGAATGGGCTATGCAGAAGTCCCAGAGGAGGAGAGCCTCGCGACAGAGGGGAGAGGACCGGGACCCGCCCTGCTTGTTTATGTAAAACATAGCGGTAGTGTTGTCTGTCAGAACTGACACGCTGTGTCCTTTTATGGTGGCGTGAAAGGTCTGGCAGGTGAGGCGAACCGCCCTCAGCTCCTTCAGGTTGATGTGGAGCAGCCGTTCCTCCCTGGACCACAAGCCCTGAGTGCGCTGGTCCCCTAGGTGCGCACCCCAACCCAGGTCCGACGCGTCTGTTACTAGCGTCAGAGTCGGCTGTGGGGCGGTGAATGGGACCCCTGCGCAAACCTGCTGTTGGTTGAGCCACCAACGGAGGGCATCCGATACCTGAGCCGGGATCGTGACGACCATGTCCAAGGGGTCTCTGTTGGGGCGATACACCTGAGCCAACCACAGCTGCAGCGGCCGGAGCCTGAGACGGGCGAGCCCGACTACGTGCGTGCACGCTGCCATGTGCCCCAGGAGTTGCAGGCAACATCTGGCCGTGGTCGTAGGGAATCGCTGAACGGAGGTCACGGCCTCCTTGATAGCCAGGAATCGGGATACGGGAAGACTTGCCCGTGCCTCCACCGAGTCCAGGACTGCCCCTATGAAGTCCAGTCTCTGTGTGGGGACTAGCGATGACTTGGGCACATTGACCAACAGCCCGAGTTCCCGGAATACTTGCAACGCCAGTGTCACATGGGCGCGGACCTCTGCCTCCGACCGGCCCGCTAGGAGCCAATCGTCCAGGTACGGGTAGACGCGCATCCGTCTTTTTCGAAGAAAGGCGGCTACCACCGACATGCACTTCGTGAAGACACGTGGGGCTGTTGCCAGGCCGAAGGGCAAGACCGTGAACTGGAAATAGCGCTGTTGGACAGTGAAGCGCAGGAAACGCCGATGGGCTCGGCGAATGGCAATGTGAAAATAGGCGTCTTTCATATCGAGGGCAGCGTACCAATCCCCCGGATCCAGGGAAGGAATGATGGTACCAAGGGAGACCATACGGAACCGTGGCTTCTGCAAGTACTTGTTTAGCTTGCGAAGATCCAGGATAGGACGGAGGCCCCCTTTCACTTTGGGGATGAGGAAGTATCTGGAATAGAACCCTCTTCCTCTGAAGTCCAGAGGAACCTCCTCCACCGCCCCCGCCTCGAGGAGGGTCTGTACCTCCTGTATGAGGAGTTGCTCGTGAGAGGGGTCCCTGAAGAGGGACGGGGGTGGTGGGTGGGAGGGAGGGGGCGAGGAGAACTGGAGGGTGTAACCTGATTCCACCGTGCGCAGGACCCAACGGTCTGATGTTATATGAGACCAGGCACGGGAAAAATGGGACAGGCGGTCCCTGAAACCCAGGGGTGGATCCGGAGAAGAGATGGGTACGCTGTCCTCGATCGCAGCTTCAAAATCCTTGTTTGTTTCCCGGCTGCGTCTTGTTTTGGCCCTGCTTTTGGCCTTGGTTAGGCGTATTGTTGCGCCTACATCTATTGTCCCTGCCCCGTCTACGGTATGGTTCCTGCCGAGGGCGAGGATGATACTGCCTCGGTGGAGGTTGGGGCTTGAACAGCTTCCTCTGTGTCACAGGGGTGTGCATCCCCAAGGACTTAAGGGTAGCCCGAGAGTCCTTGAGGCTGTGTAGCCTGGCGTCAGTCTGCTCTGAAAATAGGCCCGAACCCTCGAACAGCAAGTCTTGGAGGGTATTTTGCACCTCCGGGGGAAGGCCCGAAGATTGCAGCCATGCAGAACGTCTCATCACTACACCTGACGCGATTGTTCTAGCGGCTGCGTCGGCAGAGTCAAGTGAGGCCTGTAACGACGTTTTGGCCACCGCCTTCCCCTCGTCCACTAGTGCCGCGAACTCAGGTTGTGATCCCTGAGGCAAGGCCTCTTTGAACTTGGACACAGATGCCCATGAGTTAAAGTTATGTCTATTTAGGATCGCTTGCTGGTTTGCTATCCGCAACTGGAGGCCCCCGGACGAATAGACCTTCCTGCCAAATAGGTCTAGTCGTTTTGCCTCCTTGGCCTTGGGTGCCGGGGCCTGCTGGCCATGCCTTTCCCGTTCGTTAACCGCTGAGACGACCAGCGAACATGGGGTCGGGTGGGAGAAGAGAAAGTCAAACCCTTTGGACGGGGCAAAGTACTTCCGTTCTACGCCTTTTGCGGTTGGCGCAGAGGAGGCTGGCGTTTGCCATACGGTCTTATAGTTTGCCTGGACCGTTTTTATGAGCGGGAGCGCGATCCTGGAGGGACCCTCTGGGCTCAGAATGTCCATCATCGGGTCCTCCTGCTCAACCGTCTCCTCTGCTTGTAGACCCAAATTGAGGGCCACCCGGCGGAGCAGGTCCTGGTGCGCCCGGTGGTCAATAGGGGGAGGGCCGGATACTGTCGTGCCCGCCACGGCCTCGTCCGGCGAGGAGGAGGAGGTCATGGCTTTTTGAGCTTCCTCGTCCTCCTGTAGCTCCTCCTCAGTGGGGCGGCCTTCCGGGGTGCGCCCCCTGTCCCGAGTCAGGGACGGTGCCGAGCTCGGTGCCGAGTCCGCCCTCTCTGCATCTGGTGGTCTGGAGACCGTGGCCTCCGCACGGGAGGTAGGGCGGCACCGTGGGGAGCGGGACCGGTCTCCTGAGGGACCCGATCTCGAAGTTCTAGATGGAGGGCCTTGCTGATGATAGGCCCACGGTGTCCAGAATGGCCACTGTCCAGGATGGCTCCAATGCGGCTGCCAAGAGGCCTCGTGTTCTCTAGCGGCATGCCCTCTGCGGCCATATCTGGAAAGACCCGAGCCCTCTTCCGACGCTAGGGACGGTGACCTAGAGGGCCACGGCGGTGCCGTGGGGCGGTGCCGGTCCGGTGTCGGGGAGCGGTGCCGTCTGGACCGGGACCGTGAGTATCGGCGTGCCGATCTGGACCTGGAACGGTACCGTTGACCGCGGGACCGGGAGCGGCTGCGGGAGGATGGTCTTGGGAGTCTCGCCATCGAAGCGTCCCGGCGCCTGCTCGAGCCGGGTTGCTGAGGCGGTGCCACGCTCGCATCGGGCCCTGACTGTTTCGTGGCCCGTTGTGCGGCGGGAAGCCGGGAGTCCACCGAGGCGGAGCTCGACCGGGACCGGCGCCGTGAACGGTGCCGAGATGGCGACCGCGACGGGCGCATCATCGCCGGTTTGCCCTTGGATGGCAGTCGCGGCGGAATGTCTGTAGCGCGGAGTGTGCTCTCGGAGGACAATTCAATGAGGTCCTTCGCCGCCTCAAATGTGTCCGGGGTGGAGGGCTGTTCCAACAGTTCCTCCAGCCCATCCTCCGCACTCGACGCGCTCGTCCCGGGGCTCGACGGGCCCTTCGGCGCCGGAGCCACTGGTGCTGGGACCTGTACCGGGGCCGTCACGGCCTTGGCCGCACTTGCGGGCTTCGCCGGTGCCGCTTTCTTATGTGGGGAGCGCCCCCGGGCCTTAGGCTGGCCCTTCGACTTGGCCGGCGAAGAAGATCGATGCCGGGCGTGTTCCCGCCTTGGCGGTGCCGTGGGCTTAGTCTGCGCCGCCGGTGTCGGGTCGCGGACCGATGCCGGGGCACTTCGCACCAAAGCGGACGGTGCCGCGGAAGAGGAGGGCTGTAACGCCGCCTCCATGAGGAGCTGTCTAAGGCGAAATTCCCTCTCTTTCTTGGTTCTGGGCTTGAAGGCCTTACAAATTTTACAGCGCTCCTTCTGGTGAGCTTCCCCGAGGCAACGGAGACACGACTCGTGCGGGTCGCTCACTGGCATAGGCCTGCGGCACGCGGCACACGCCTTAAAGCCTTGGGCGTGCGGCATGCCCCGCCGCCCAGGGCCGGTGCCGGGGTTGACCAAACCCCTATCACCAAGAGATTTTTGGTCCTTAGAAGAACTAAACAACTACTTAACACTAAAACTCTTAACTGTATTATGAACTGCTAACTATTGCTAATGGCTATGCTAAGGGACACTCTCAGGCGAGAGACAGTTGTTCCAACGTCGCCACGGGCGGTAAGAAGGAACTGAGGGAGGGTCGGGCCGGCAGGGATATATATACGCGAGGGCGGGGCGCCGCTCTGGCGGGAAGGGGGACCCTGTGGGCCCGACGGGAGCCGCTGAGGGAAAAAGTTTCCGACGATTCGTGCACGCGGCGCGCGCACACCTAATGTGGAATGGACGTGAACAAGCACTCGAAGAAGAACAATATAATTGTATTGCTCAGGAGTGGGAAAAATCCACTCCCCTGAGTGATGTAGTTATACCAACCTAACCCCTTGTATAGACAGCATATGTTGATGGGAGAGCTTCTCCCAGACATAGCTATTGCCTCTCAGAGTGGTGAATTAACTATGCTAACAGAAGAAGCTCTCCTATTGGTGTACTAGTGTCTTCACTAAAGTGCTGCAGTTGCGCTGCTGTAGCGCTGTACATGAAGACAAGTCCTTACATCAGCTAGAAAGGTTGCTCAAGGCATTCAGTTTTCCCCAGGCAGAGAGTTCACCTCTTTCCCTTCATACTCCCAGTGCCAGAGATCCCAGCCTAAAATCATACCCAGGTTTCCCACACAGCAGTGTTGAGCATTAACTGCTACTAGACCTATTCTCTTACACAGTGTGCTTCAGCTCCAAAAAGTGACTGTAAAAATGGTATTAGGAGGGTTCATGTTCATTATCTCTCAGTGATTTTCACATCAAATGTGCTCAGTTTACAAGATGATTTTCATGACTCCCAAGTCTGCAAAGTCAGCTTGGGATCTGAGATTCAAGCTGGGTTCTCTTTCTCTTGAGCACCATCACCACTAGTAGAGGTGGTGCAGGCCAAATTCCACTTTCACTTACACCTGGGCAATTTAATAGCTTCAAGTTATGCCTTTGGCAATGACAACTGTGCAGGAGCACGCACAGGTGTAATTTGTTGGTACTTGGTAAACAATTTCATGTAGAGTTCCCAAGGAGGAGTACAACCCAGCTCATTCTCTTGAAGCTATGTTGGCTGTGCAGGTCACAAGAGTAAAACCTTATTTTTGTCACTAAAAGCCACCAGAGCTGACTAATACTTGCAGGAAACACATACAATGAATAAGAAGGGGCCATTTTTACATATTTCTCACAATGGAACCACACTTCAAGGGAAGAAATTTGTGCAAAGAAATTCAACTTTCCCATGCTGTAGGCACCTCTTTTAGTAAACACACCTCAGTGCATACAACATGGCTTTCCTGCCCTGCCTGCTGCACACCACTCTGGCTCACCGTAATCTGCATTTCTGATTGGATGTGCGGGTGATGAAGTATCTGTTCACAGTGTAGAAGTAATCATGGTATGGGACATCATGTGTCAGCACCTCTGCGTCTACCCGGTAAGACTGACCTTTCTGGCTCAGTTTATTCAGGATCTACCCATAAAAAAAAAGAAGGGGGAAAAAGACATTTTAAATACACAGTCTCAGTTCTCTTTCCTTCAGTCTTTGGGTTCATCATGCCAGCAAAACTACCACCTAAAAGCTACTGGCAGTAGGGAAAGAATCTGAAATAGTTTGAGAAAATGAGACAGATGGAGAACTCATGGTGGTCACAGATAGGGGTCGGGGGTTGGCAACCCCTGTCCTTCCCACATTGCCAAATGGGAGAAGGCTCCTAGTTAGCTCCCAGCAGGACAGGATGGTTTTGGTATGAAAAAGGAGAAGAACCACTGGTCTAGAACTCTCAGCATGGGCCTGGGGACCAGGAACTCCTGAGTTCTAGTCCTGGCTCTGCCTCTAACTCACTGTGTGACCTCTGAATAGTCATTTCACTTGACTGTGTCTTAGTTTCCTTGTCTACAAAATCAGGTTCACACTTACTCCCGCAAGGACTGTGGGGAAGAAGTGAGGTTTACGAACCTCTGTGAAGATGAAAGGCACTACATAAGTGTTTATTAAAGATGAGGAGGGCAGCTGACCATCATCACAAATGACACATTTAACTGCTGAGCCACATTCAAACTCCTAAACTCTGCAGTGTGGTCATCACTGTAGCAGATACTGAAGTGAGGGTTTCTCTTACTTTGGCACACATTGTGAATGCACACAGTACCTGCTTTTCTGTTGCAGTTGTGTACTTCCCAATGAGCGGATTGTTAATCATTATAGTGTAGGTGAGGGTCCTCAACTGATTGCCACTGCCGTCCATATTCCAAGGGGTCGATACAGCATCTAGTCATAAAATGTATAATTATTAACGTCCAACAATTTACAGGGAGCGGTCTCAATCCTTAACTTGGTTGAAAGTAGTTTCACAGTGAACAGGTTAAAGGTCTGCTCCTCTCCTTCGTGAGATCCTGTATGTTTACTATGTAACGCAATGTAGAATCAGCTCATGTTACTCACTGAGGGATGCCAGAGAGCCTGATTCTCCCTTGCCTTGCACACCTTGTGTCATCATTCACACCTGTGAAATGTCAGTGACTGCAAAACACCATCACTCTGGTTGGAGACCATTTCACACCAACTCTGAATAGGTGTAAACAAGGACACAAAAGTAAGGAAACGGAGAATGGGGCCTGAGTGTTTAGAGGTCAGAATTCGGAAGTGTGTTGGAGGAGGAGGCGGGAATACCTCCACACACACGGTCTTGTCACTTTCTGCTTGTAACTCCTTTCTTGCTTTTGGACATAGGAGTTTTCCAGTGGAAAGGCCAGCCTGGAACCAATCCAGATGGTTGGTAATTTACAAGAATAGGGAAAAGTGACAGAAGCACTGGCCAGTATTTCTGGACTCTTATGTCTGCTAGATGCTAGAAGAGCAGAATAGACCATGGGAAAAATTAAAGAAAGGCTTTAAATGAAAAGCTACACTGTATTCCATCTGCCTAGGATGGAGGTTATAAGGTTCATTAGCATTAGTGAGATAGCTCTTGCTGATTTGCCTTAAAATGTAACACTGAACAAATATTACTCTCTTTTGGACTTTATCTTCTGTTTCTATGATCTCAATAAATAAAATTTACTTGCCCAGAAAATTAAAGCCTGTGAGTGTTATTTAGGAGGATGCAATGATTTATTCTACGTGCAAATTGTATGAACTTTACTATTACTTGAATATAACATGATTTTAAAAAAAACAACTATTGAGCCAATACCCTAATCAATAAAGCAAAGACTTTAAATAATTTAATATGTGATTGATTTTAATGTTGTAACATTAATATGTACTGTGAAGGTTCTACTCTGAAAAGTGAATGTAAAGAGGGTATTGTTTCTGTGTTCATTGTCTCAATAACTCCAGAACAAGCACACTCATTTTATAAATAAAAAATGTTTTTCTGACAGTCCTGAACACTCACCCTCATATCTAAAAGTCAAGCTCATTTCTTTTTGACTCTTGTATAAGCATTATTATTTTACAGCACCAAAAATATGCTAGACAAAGTGCAGCACAGATAGAAAGATATGGTCCTTGCTCCGAAGAAATTAAGATTTGATATTATCTAGGACATAATGAGTGGGGTTAAAACAATAAAGAGGGTGTGGGGTGAGGACACACATAGGTTACAGCGATAAAATCCATGAGGTTAATCAATCTAATCTTGTACACACCTTGGTAGTTCAGTTAGATTTCTTTTCATTTTGAAGAAGAAAGGTTTTGTAAAAAAGATCCTGCCATTATTACTCCTGGCCAACCCTATTACCGTCACATTCTTCCCTCAGTTATGCTTGTGCTAGCTGTTGTCGTCAGTGAGGTAGTATAGATGTAACTGATTAGTCCTGTCACTGGAACATAGCTAGCAATTCTGATGCTGATGTAGTAGGTAGAAGAGACTTCAGCTCATTGTCCTAGAGCTGAACTTGGCAAAAAGAAGTAAAAGTGTAAACACTTATTACTTCGGTCAGAGCTTTGACAGGGAGAAGCAAAGGGCCAGGTTTACGTAGTCATTTTCAAAGCAGAACCTTATCTTTAAAAGCAGGTTTAATTCCCCCTTTATGGGCAGAATCTGTTGAGCTTTGGTTATTCATCTCCGACTACATTAACACTTCTCTCACCAAGATTGAGAATGTAATTTTTTCTAGCATAAATCTTTACACGAATTGAAAGGGGAAACTATATTACCTACTATATTCCTGGTGTTGAGAAATCTCTGCATGAAATGGGAATTGGTGAAAAGCATTTCAAACATCTTGTCTGCGCTGATATTGAAAACTCTATTAATAAAGAGTCTCCCGTGCAGGTCATTCTCAGGGACATTCTCCTTGGCTGATAAGGAAATGGAGAGGAACAGGTTAAGGAAATGGATGGGACCCATCATCTGCCCACAGTAAAAAAGACATTTTAATGCTTGAACCTCTGTTGTGGCTCAACCAATAACCAAACATTAATCCACACTTCTCTTCCACTCCCACAATCCTAACAGCACAGTATTTACCATTATGAGACAGCCCAGAGCTGGTCTTTCAACCAGTCCCATCCACTATCCTTTCACCAGTACTTTTCCATGTAGAAAGCCTCAGTTGGTGACAATCAGTCCCTTTCAATAGCATCACTTACTCCTTCAATAACATGGTCCCTGTCAGGTTAAAAACCTTTCTTAAATGTGTTACCAGCTCTCCTAGACCCATCTGAGGGGATTAGAATAGAAGGAATACTATGTTATTGATTTACTTGTCACTATTTACTCTAGGCCAGCTGTTTGCATTGTATACATCACTCAATCTGGACAATGTAGTCAGGGTGGTTTTCTAGTCCGGTTGGTTTTCAGCTTGCCATACTCTTGCAGGATGCTACAATGTTTGCTGTGTAAGTGCTGCAGGAGACTACTTGTAAAACATATTTCATTGGCTTTTTTTTTTTTAATTTGGAAAAAAAAATATTGCCCCTAACAAAAAATACCTTCCTCACCTACCATGTGTCTCTGTATGAAGGGGATATGCTCCCAGCCTGTAATCCTGGGTCGGGCACTGGTACCTGCCCTATTCTCATCCCCCATTAACACAGAGCTGTGAGGAGATGCTTTCTCCTGCTCCCGCATCCACTGTCCTGCTGTCTCTATGGAGCCCCGGTGCTGCTCCACTGCGGAGTTTCATTCTTTAGCTGCTGGGCTACTTGCTTTTGCCTTCACCCTCTGCTCAGGGCCGGCTCCAGGCACCAGCTTAACAAGCAGGTGCTTGGGGCGGCCAAGGGAGAGGGGCGGCACCTGCGGCAATTCGGGGGCGGCAGGTCCCTCACTCCCTCTAGGAGCGAAGGACCTGCCACTGAACTGCCACCACCGATCGCGGCTTTTTCCCCCACCCACCCCCAATTGCCGCCGCCGGTCGCAGCTTTTTTTTTTTTTTTAACATTGCTTGGGGCGGCAGAAATGCTGGAGCCGGCCCTGCCTCTGCTACCAGGCAGGAATGAGCTTTTGAGGTTTCAGATGTGATAGCGGGGGGGAGGGAGGGGGTTCCTTTAAAGGGAGGCTGGTGTCCTTGGCAGCTCATAATCTATTCTCTACCTCCTCTCCCCCATGCCCTCCCCCTGAGAATGCTTTCAGCCAGCTAGTATTCTAGTCCTGTATCTGTCCCATTCAAAACTTCCAGTTGTGATATGCAGACAAGTGACCCAAAACAAAAATCACCTTTATGATACCATCACATTTGCACTTCCGGGGTCCCAAATTCAAAGTTGAATGCCCTATTTACATCCCAAACAGGAGACTAAAATAAGGTTTACATAAACACATGCACTTCTCTTCCTATGATATGTTCTGATTACAAAATATGCTTTTCCAGTTGTAAGTACAGGGTGGACCAGAAGATCAAGACCATGTTTACAGAGATGCCCATTTAGCCAACCAATTCTGTAAAGTGATTACTCACTATGGTAAGAATTTTTCTGCACTGGAATACATTACAAGGAGCCAGGACGTCAGGGAGTGTTTACAGCCTACACAGTGACATTTTCAGTGTTTACTCTGGATAGAGTTCCACGTAAATGCCATCAGAGCCCAGACTCTGGGTGAGCTTTACATTTATCATGTTAGCTTATACAGCTTTAACATCTAACTCTAACCCGCTTCTTGCCTTTTGTACTGCCTATTTACCGTTCTCATAGAGAGAGAGCAAGCTTTATACAGTTTGGTATAAACATCCATTTTGAACAACCAGGTGCCAGCTGATCTACAGGGAGTCAGATACTTTATTTTAACATCTCCCAGAAAAAAAAACTACCTAAAATTTGTTGGTTTGTCTGGGTCTATTCACACAGCAGTGGGGGAGAAACACTTTTACATGTGATTATACAAACCCAGAAACTTTGTCAGAGATTTGGGGGCAGAAACAGTACGACTGACTGACTGTCTCTCTCTCTCTCTCTAATAAATCTAGTCTATATATATATATATATATATAAAGGGACACTGTCAATGTAAAATGCTGATTAGCGGTGATTAATTAAGGATGATATAGACCATTTGAGGATTCCTAACCAGCATAAGTAATATGAGTTGTGATGCACCAACAAATTTTAGGTAGGTTTTTTTTCTGCTCTTCCAGTCCTGGGCATGTCCTGTGCTGGACCATGTAGTGATAATTTGTCATAGGCACATGCCCCCTATGTGGACACCAAACTCATTTTACTAACATCCTGGATCAGGCTTTGAAATAAAGATTCTACAAGTGAAAAGTTAGTTTGCTAGCCTAATGTATCACTCTAGCTCCTCAGTTTTTAAGCCTGTAAGGCAAGTATATGGAGTGCAATTGCATGCATATTTTGGCCTGAACAGATTACATGAAAAATAAAAATTACCTCGTATAACCAAAACCTAGCGTAAACCCATCACCTCAAATGTCCTGGTTCAACTTGGAGACAGCATGCCTGATTCTCTGGTACCCTGTACTTTATGTGGTCATTCACACCAGTGCAAAGTGAATATAAAATGCTACCACTTGGACTTGGTAGCATTTGCAATACTTTGCACCAATGTAAATGACAACAGACTGTGCTGGACAATGCGGAATCAGACCCATTACATTATAAGGTTTCCTGCACAAAATTAAATAAATTAATTTTAAAAAAAGAATAAAAACCCTAATCCCTCATCTACAGGTTAGACAACTGGGAAGACATTCAAAATCTAATTGCTCTCCTTTCAACCAATGCCTCAGCTCAAATCCCATTAACTCCTAACAGCAGAACAAGAAACCCAAAATAATACATGCCAGAGCAATGAACTCTGAAGAAGCCAAACTGACAAGAACGGGGCATATCAAACAAATGAGAAATTGATTTCCACTCCAATGGAAAAAATATATCAGCCATACTGTATACACAGAGAGACCTGGCAACCAGAAACAGCTGGGGTAAAGGTAAGGAACCAAACAGATTTCCACTCCACTGGAAAAATATCACCAACGTTGTGCACAGAGAACAGAGCCCTTGAAACAACTGGACTCAAAATCATGGAAACCTCTTCACAGACAGGAGTGTGATAGAAGGAATGAGCACAATTATGCAGGCCAGACATGCCACATTTTAGGATTGCACCAGTTATATTAGTCATGGTCGGGCTGATAACTCACATGATCGATCTCATCTCAAAAGTGATATTAATTTAAAATTTTGCGTATGATTTCTGAGTCAACATTGAAAGGAAAACCTTGTTTTTCCACTAATAAAAAGCTTCAATTTTTTTTAAATTTTAGATAACTCAAATAGATTTTAAAACTTCAAAGCTATAAGCATTTGACATTTGTATACTAAACACAGAATATGCTTTTAACAACATTATAAACAATGTATTGAGATACACAGCTCCTGTTTCTCATGTGTACTGTGGATCTGCAAACACGCAAACCCAAACAAATGCAACTGCACTTATTTCAGTCATCCCAAATTTCAAACGTGTGATCCCACCTACCTGTGAGAAAAATCAAACATTCAGTGCACTTACTTGGCTCTCACATCACACATTCAAGCAAACACTTATGTAGAGACAGTTATATTCTCTCTTTCATCCCAACCCTCATTTTTAAAAATGGAAATTAAATCCAAAAAAGATAATTAATACGTGTGTCTTAAGATATTAAACAAAGAATTCAAGACACTTACAGCTGTCCCTCTGTTGTACATAGTTAAGTAACTGAAAAGACAGGCTAGTCTATTTTCTGTGTACCATCTTAGGGTTTTTTACTGCTGCCCATCATGGTACCATGTGGGTGCCTTCCATGTAAAATTGCTAACAAAAAGTGAAGTCCCTGGAGTCATATGCGGTCTCTGGCACGTCTCCCTTTCTGAGGTAAACACCATTTGGGATTGGGGGTTTCATTTTTAATTAATTAGATTTTATTAATTTCTTTTTTGAGCTTTGTTGGGGTTTTTTGGTTACAAGGGAGTGTCAATGTTGGGCAACCACAGGATCTGAATCCAGGACTATGGTACCACAAGTAGAAATACATATACCTGGGCCACCAGACAGCCGTGCACTGTTAAAGCCTTGTCAGCACTAGAGAATGATAGGAAAAAAAAATGCCACTGGTGCTCACTGAAATAGAGCGGAATAAGTAAAAGCAACAAACGGATCCCTAGTTTAGGCAAGACTCTGGCAGCTCAGGTTTAGTTGATGCTGTGGTAACAAGTAAAATTCAGAAGCTGCTGGAGGAGGACAGACATGTGATCATTCCCCACTGCACCTGCTAGAACTGCATTTCCCAAAGCGTGAAGCACAACTCACGCAGAATGGGTGGGCACAAAGGACTAGGCAGAGGGCATAGATGAGGTCTAAATCAAAATGGGTAGGCGTAAAATGTCACATGGTGGTGTTGAAAGGCAATTGGTTTCTGAGGAGGGATCAGCTTTCAAAAGTTTGGGAAACACTGTGCTAGATAGCAGACTGGGAAACAGAGGAAAAAATCCAAGCATGCCTAGAGTAAACCTTAATCTCTTTCCAGTTTATGCAGTGGGACCAGAAAGTCCTGCTTTCAAGAATAAACAAAGAGCTCACCCTAGAAAAGCAGGAGGACAAGAAGCATGAATAGGAGTTTTTCTTTCTTGAACAAAAGGCCTTGAATCTACTTGAGTTTGTCAGATTTTATTTGCTTAACATTAGAAGTCAAATAGTCTCAACTAGTCTTTAAAGTTACCATTGAGATAGAGCCTATCTTTGTTGCTGCTCTTTAAATGTTGGGTACATTTTCTGCCCAGCTGGGTGAATAGGACAAAGAGTCAATTGATTACATTATAAGTGTTTTCAAAATGGAAAAAAAAAAGACTACAAAAAGCTAAGGCTCTAGGACAAACAAGAAAACTGTAGGAGGACTCTAAAATGATAGCGCCTGCAACTTTCCACTGCTATAGGCAATATATTTGTGATGGAGAAATGCATGTAAATTATTTATATAGCACACAAACTATAAAGGGGGTGAGCTATTACACAACACCATGTCAGATTTGTACACGTGTAATGCAAACGTAAATTCATAGTGCTGCACATGCTCTTTTGGGGAGTTTATCATTCATCTGTTATTCTGAAACAGAAAGCCCAGTCACAGTCACAAACCTTTTGTAAAGTTTCTTTCCTCTTTGTTCCCATCTCATCTTCTTTGAAGATGAAAAGCCTTCAAGAGGAAACATGTTCTAATAGTAAAAATAATGGACTAGGACTCAGGTGATCTGGTTATGTTCCTGACACTGTCACAGATGCATTGTGTGATCTTGGACAAATCTCTCCCTGCTCTCTGACTCAGTTCCTCTCCCCTCCCTCCCAGCCCCCATCTTTACAATTGGGATAAAGAATTAGATGGAAAACAGGCATTGTTCTCTGTGAAAATCAGAGAGAAAAATCCCCTTGTGAAAATATTCCCATTGGAAAAGTTTCAAAAATGTGGGGAAACGTTTTCCCTCCCACATGCTTTCTTGTTGGGAAAAGCTGGAAAAGTCAAAAAGTGGGGAAATCCCCACAATTTCAAAACTCTAAAACTCCCCCCCACAAAAAATTTGTCATTTCAAAAACATTTTGGAAGATGAATTTCTGTAAAAAGATAAGGTTTTGTCAAAAGCTATATTTTCTGATGAAACCAAGTTTGGTCAGAAAATGTTCAAGCAGCTCTGACATGTAATCGCCTCCTGGGGGATTGTAGAGTACTTTGAGATCCAGATTACAGTCATGTTACGGCTCTCAGTTGGATTTCTAAATGAGCAGCTATTTACCTTCTTCCTCGCTATCTGAGGCACTGCTCTTCTCCAGAAGATTCTCACTCTCGATCGGCTCCAGGGACTGTGCTGGGAGCCTGCGTCTCTCTAGCTTAACTGGTTTCTTTTCTGAAGGCAACAGAAGGCTCCTCTTGTCCTGCTTCTCATTCTGGGATTCCTCCTGCTCAGACCCCTATGGGAAAAGCCATCAGCAAATGGTATAATTGTCTGTAATAACCTTCATAAACACTTTATATACAACCTTAGTTTAAAAAAAAGTTACAATTGACAAGTGTAAACAAGCTAGCTGTCCAAATTCTATTTACCACTTACCTGGGGCAAGTACTGCCCCTAACACTGGACTGTGAAATTCCTTCTCTGGATCCAGCCTCCCTCATCTATTTATATAGCTCCAAGGCAGATTCTGCCAAATGGAAGCTTTCAGCTGAAATCAGTTCCTAGCCACTATTTCTGTGAAGGTAACCTTTCAAGAGTGAAATGATGCAGCACCATTTGAGACACTCAAAGGTGTGAATTATCCCCATCAATCCTATTGATTGACTGACTCATAATGACTTAACTCTGAACCCTAACTATGACACTTGTGGGGCCAGACTATTCTAGACATTCAGGCAAGCAACTGCACACCTAATGAAATTCAATAAAGACAAATGCAAGGTACTACACTTAGAAAGGGGAGGGGGATTCAAATACACAGCTACAAGATGGGGGAATAACTGACTAAGCAGTAGTATTGCAGGAAAGGATGTAGGGGTTATAGTGGATCACAAATTAAACACGAGTTAACATGATCCAGTTTCAAAAAAGGCTAATATTCTAGAGAGTATTAACACAAGTGTCATATGTATTAACACGGGAGTTTATTGTCATGCTCTACTCAGCACTGGTGAAGCCTCAGTTGGAGTATTGTGTCCAGGACTGTGATCAATTGTTCTCCATGTCCACTGAAAGTAGGACAAGAAGTAATGAGCTTAATCTCTGGCAAGGGAGATTTAGATTACACATTAGGGAAATCCTTTTAACTATAAGGATAGTTGAGTTCTGGAACAGGCTTCCAAGGGAGGTTGTGGAATCCCTGTCATTGGAGGTTTAAGAACAGGTTAGACAAATACCTATCAGGGATGATCCTGTATCAGTGCAAGGGACTGGGCTAGATGACCTCTTGAGGTGCCTTCCAGTCCTACATTTCTATGGTTCTATCATTCTAATTTGCATACATTTATAGAGATTGGACATGCAAATCTGCTAACTGCAAACAACACAGCCAAAGAAAGGGCAGGGATGGTGGTCCTCCTACTGGTATAGTTCCTACATAAGAGCCATATTCTATCCTCGGTCTCTGTGCAAACTTCTCACCGTCTTCAGTGGGACATTGGTTGTGGATCAAGAGCAGTATATGGCCTTAAACTTTGTAGCTCTGATGTGTGGTGCATAATGCAATCAAGCTCTCTTCCTACATGATTTTAACTCATCTGCCTTACCACCATGTTGGAAGATTAATTCAGTACTGATTCATAAGGAAGAGCTCCATCTACGTGAATCATCATCACAATTTTCTGTAGCACTCGAATGTTCCTTGGCGGTCTGTTATCAAAATGTAGACCTGACCTTACATATCTTGGGTGATTGAGAGATTCAAAGTACAAAGCTGGACGGCTGAAGGGCATAAAAGCCAGCACTGAATTTGTGAAGTCAATATAAAAAGGCAAGGTATTTCCAACACCAAAATAAAGGGAAGATTGAATTATGGAAGCAAATTAATCAGACACTGGTATTGAATCGGAAGCAATTAGTGAATTCCATGCAACACAATGTAGTGCAAAGGAAGAAGTAGGACAATGGGAGGGGGGGAAAATAATTCAGTGCATCAGTATTTCAGCATCAAGATTCTCCAGTCTGGGTGAGGAGAGCGATGAAGCAGCCATTTGTGGCAAGCACTTTTTGTACAGATAGCAGACAAAGGTCCCATCCATCTTTCCACACCTGATACAGATACAAGGAATTCTTATTCTGATGGTATTTTGACAGAGACCATGGATTTGAAGAAGACAGGGGAGTTTAAACCACCCTGCACAGGCTTAACCCAAGGCAATGGGTTAAGCATGACACTTCTGAGAAGAAAGCCCTTCCCAAGACATACTGGCCCACGAGAGATTTTTTTAATGCATGCATGACATATGCATTATAAACCCAGATTTCTCATACCTTTCAGCCATAACACACCTAAGACAAGGGCTAAAGAGAAATATTAACTTTAAAAAAACACCTGCTACTAAAAATCAAAAAGCAGTAGGAGGCACATACATAGTCTAGTGGTTCCATGCATCCTCAAGAGGAGCTGAAAATGTACAGTGAGGGAGGTGGTGTCGTACATCTCTTTGAAACCCCAAATTTGGCACCAAGCTTGGCAAACCTTCTCCTAAGACTTTCTTGGTGCTACTAGTGCCTAGTAGAGTCCAAGAATGGGGATCAGTGCACGCAATTTTTGTCAAGGAGAACAGCACCATGAGTCTTGATGGCTGTGCACCAATTTCTGGCGGCAGGGAAAATTAGGCAACAGACTGGTGTATACTGTTAGATGCACTGTGCTTTAAAAGAAAACCATGTCTGATGGTGCACACAAAGGCTGCACACTTTCTTTTAAAAAAATTAGAGAATTAATAAAAACAAATTCCTAGTTTGTCAAGCAGAAACAAACATTAACTGTGGGATACAAGAGCCTTGAAATGTTCTTGAGATTACATTATATCAACTATGAAAGTATTAAAATATAACACTAAAGGTTAATCATAGTAAAACTGAAGACAGACTTGAATGCAGAGATGGCTATTCAAGACCCTGGGGCAAGTCCTGTTTGCAGAGGTCTGACACTGCCCGCTCTCCCTCCCCCCAAAAACTCAAGTGGGATTTGTCATAAATGGTGATGAAGTTGCAATACTCTTCATTCTTCCTTGAATCTTTTGCCAAGAGGCTTACTAGAACCAGGCTATACTTTCCGCACCCCTCTCACTGTGAGGATCAAGGAGCCGTCATGCTGTATGCTGATGGCCTATTTCCTTATGGCTACTGAAATATTTATTATTGAATAAACTCACATCATTGTGACTTGTCTGCAGGATGCATATAGGATTCAGAAGACATGCATTGGATGGATTTATTAATGTAACTGGAAATACCACCTGGAATAATAATGGGAGCAAAAACACTCCATTCAAAAGCACAACCTGGCAAATATTTGCTGTATTTAAACAGCATTAAAGGTGGCCTGCAAAGGGTGGGAAACGCTATGCTTTTCCCTTGTTTTTCTTCTTTAGGAAGAATAAATAAGGCATGAAATATTTTTCCTCCTCCTGCAAGTTACTGGGCTCAGTACAGGGGTAACTGGGAGAAATTCTTCAGTCTGGGTTATGCTAGAGGCCAGACTTGATGATCACTGAGGACCCTTCTATTCTTAACATCTATGAAAACAATCACGATTGTCGGCGTCTTGTCTTTCTGAGATCTCCATGGATGACTCAAATGTGTAACGGGAGCTAAAATATTCACCATACATATATCACATCACATTAGTTCCTATGATGTCAAAACCCTACTAGTTCTCCATAGGTTCTTCAGCAGCAGACAAGATCTGAATTTCTCATGTGAAAAACAAGAAGAATCCTTCAGCCCTTTATTTTTTTAATTTTCTTTTGGGAAAAAGGTTCAGTCCTTCTTTATACATCAAAAAGCAGCAAAAAGGGAACGAGTCCGTTTTTCCCCTTTTGCAGGTCACCTCTAAACTACATCATGAGTTTTCATGGATTTACTCAGACATCTTATGGCAGCAATACTTTACTAACTACTGAAACTCTCTATTCCTTCTGTAATCCTGAAATATCTGCATTCTGTCACTCAACTTCTCTAGCAAATACCACACAAAATGTATACCTAAATAGAACTGTCATACATTTTGTAAGTTATGAAATAATCAGATACCCCAGATTCATCTCTCTCAAACTTCAATGAGCTCGGATGTGAAGAAATATACTTCAACAAATTGAACCTGTGCATAGGATTGGAGCCTATATTCATCAAAATGGCACTACTGGGTGAGATTTTCAAAGGCACTTTCATTGTTACAGGGTTAGCTGTAACTTTTCCCCTTGTTAGGTCTCCATTGAGCACACGCTTTCAAATGACAGGTCCTGCACCTCCACTCCTCTCAGGGTGGAATCCCACGGTTCTCCCACCCTAGGCTACAGCACCTGTTCACCATACATGATTCCTCAACAGGACCAAATGCATTTAGCAGTGTAAGAGACCTCCCTTTTTGAGCTGTGACCAGTACAATGCAGGGACTCAGAATAGTTTCTTTCAAAGTATTACTTATCCATAGGAACATAGCATTCTGAGAAAAGGGCTAAAACTACAAAGCCTATATACACACCTTGTCTTACCTAAAGCCTAGGTAGGTCTAACTTATCCCACACACTCCAATCTCTAGGTCAGTCTGTTCCCCCAGTAGTCCAATCCTCCCTCTAAGCTCAGTTCTTTTAACAAAACCTAGAATAATTATAGGGAAGTGTGAGGAGAGTCTAATCTGGAACAAAAATATCAGGCAAGTGGGTCTGAACATAGAAATGGAAAAAAGACAATAAGAGGTTTTATGGAGCACTTTTCATTTGTAGATCTTAAAGTGCTCTATAAAGATGGATAAATATAATTATCCTCTTTGTACAGATAAAGAAACAGAGTCACAAAGAGTTGCAGTGACTTGTCCAAAGTCACATGGTGAGTCAATGGCTGAACAGGGAATGGGACGCCAGGAGCTCCCCACTCCCGACCCAGTTCCCTATCCACTTGATCACACTGCCAATAAATAATAATGTATCATTTAAGTAAAAGAAATTCAAAAGTGATCAGAACTACAAACAATCCATTTCATGTGAATGCTAACAGCCAGCAGGGCAAAAGTCTTAAAACACTGAAAGATGAATAACTGACCTTAACCCATTCACCTCCAGATGCTAAAATCTTCTAAACCGTCCTCATCTTCACATCCTTCATAGGTAGGAGAAGGAGTATCCTCACATACACACACTTAAGGATGTATGATTTACACATTTGTATTTGTTAAGTACAGCAAGAGAGGCTTTCTAAATACTTACTCCTGTCAGTGTGTTTCCATGGAATGGCTCTGCCTCTACTATCTGAATGATGGGTTCATGAATTTCACGGATTGCTTTGGGTAATTTTTCATCTCTGTCTCCAGAATCATCACAAATGCTGGATCTGTCCAAAGCAAAAAGATAATAAAGACAGTGTTAATTTAATTTCTTAGCATTTATGGCACCAAACTCATACTTTTGGAGCTTTATTGGATTTAAAAACATGCACTACAAACCATTAATTGAATTGCCACATAAGACTGCCAGCTCAGTCATCCCACATCCAGTTCATTAACCCATCAAGCTACCCTGTCCCCAAGTGCCCGTGAGAAAACCCTGGTTTAGCAGTGTGTCTGGAAAGTTAATAAATCAAGGCTATGGTGAACCAAGGGAGAAAGTTAATGTTGTGGATGGTAGGGAGATAAAAGTATCTTAGGCCTCAAATTGAAAAGTTTTGTCCTTTTAATTATTATTATAAGAGGCATTTTTCTTACACCCATCCCTCTAGCATCCTATGTCAAAATATTTTGAAGATTATACTATGAAACATTATAAAAAAA